GGGGGGGGGGGGGGGGGGCGATGCGCAAAGAGAGGTTCAAAATTGTGGCCAGTGTCAGGTTGGATAGTCTCTCACATTTCTACGCGCGCAAGGGGGTGTACATGCCAACACGTTGCGCAGCGCAGCTGTGTTGCAGCAGGCAACAAGGGTGCTGCTGCACCCGCTTGTCAGGCACACACGCACTGTCACGCCAAAGCCTGCAGTCATGTGTATATGATCAATCGAGCTCAATAGGGTTGTTGAGAATTGTTTCTCAGGATGTAAAGGCAATGTGGACGGACCTTCAGGGTGTTGCAGCCCAAGCACTTGGAATGGCACCGGAGGAGCTGTGGGTCGCAGCTAACATTAAAACAGCCATGGGCTGCGTTGGTCAAATACCCAGGATCGAAACAGCTGTGGGTCTCGAATAGCAACAAATTTGCGTGTACGTATAAAATTGAATCACTCAGCACCAGGCCTGGAACTCTGCTCGGGAACTCGTCAGTGGGAAGTGGTCTTGATGAGGCACCCTGGAATTTTCGGCGGTTGTGTTCAGTCATTCTGCAGGGGCATCTGCACGCAACTCAAGATTTCAAGCAGAAAACTTGACAGAATCAATCTATCAATACCATATCAACGCATCGAAACCGTTCAAGTAATTCTTTCCGCAGACGTGTGGCGAAATTCTTCCACGCGTCTGGCCAAACGAAGGTCGGTACATCCGTCGTCGGACAAGACGGCGCTTGTCACCGCTGATTGAAAGGCAAGATATTAAGCGATTTCAATGTTTATCAAGACTCCGCAAGCCGATTGCTTACCCTTGCCCCGCTGCTGCTGCGCCCCTGGCCTGCAACTACAGACCCAGAAATCATGGCTCGTTTTTTCGTCGGCCTGCTGGCGCTGCTGGCGCTCGGCTGCCTGGTCCACCAGGCCACCGCTGTTGACGGGGGCTCGTTCTGCAAGGTGCAGCATTGTGGCGATGGAACGGGAAAACGGGGGTCCCCAAGGCCCATTGGGCCCAAGGCTGCAGCCGTGCCTTGCGATGCCGTTACAAAGGCGAAACAGCACAGCGGCCGCTGCTGCGGGGCGCGAGCCCAAAGTCGGCTTCGTGCGGCACGACGCAGGGCTACCCTTACCGCTCCTGACCCGAGCGCCGTTGCGAGCGCGGCGCCGTCAAGCTCCACCACAAACCTAATGCGCGACAAGTTGGACCAACCCCAGCCCCATAGCTGCCCGCCCGACCCACCCCACCCCCTTCCCCGTTCCTCGCCCGCAGTACGTCGACCGGCGCAAGGTGCAACTGCGCCTGCGCGCGCTCTTCAATGGCGCGTCAGGACCCCCGTCCCTGTACTTCAGCACCCTGAACCAGCTCGCCAAGACCAACAACTGGATCTGCAAGGCCTGCGGGAGGGGGACCGACAAGGTCATCGCGATTCCTGGAAACACCACCACCACCATCGACACCCTCTACCCGGGCTTTGGGCAGTGCTGTGAGTGGCGAGGGGGTTGCACTCGCGGCTTGTGCTCGCGCCGTGGCCTGCTGCTGGATTCGCTACCATCAGTTCCTACACCGTGTGCGGTGATGCGTCATGAGACCATTCACATATGCGGGGTCAGATTCTGGCGCTAGTAAATCCCCTGACACCCTCCTTGCTGCTTCCTGCCCTCAATGTACCGCCTCTGCACAGTCTGCGAGCCAGGGTTTGGCGCCTGGAGCTACACAATCGGGGTGAGTTCTGCGGCCACCACCACCCCGCCCGCGTGCAAGGGCGTCAAGCCCTTGCAAGCCCAGCCAGCTGGTGGAGTCAGCCAGCATGCAGAAACCCGGGCCGTTGAGTCTCGCTGAACAGCGCGGAATTGCGGGCTTTTGACTGCGCCAAAGACGAGGTACTCATGCTCTCGAAACTCGCTGCCACACGAGATCGCGTCTTGCTGTGCTCCCTTGTCATTTCCATATCTCACCTGCTGCCGGCCCCCGCTCCCTGCTCCCCTGCGTTCCCGCAGCGCACCTCCACCACCACCCCCCTGGTGGTCGCCAACCCCGGCAAGACGCTCCAGGGCATTGGCTGCAGCAAGTGCCCCAACGGTGTCCGCGGCCCAAACACTTACAATGGTTCGACCATCGACACCACTGTGGGCCCCTACAACAGCGCCACCAACACCTGGACGCAGACCAGATGCGCTTGCAGGGTCACCGCCACCGGCGCGTCCTGCTAGGCGCACCCAATATTGTGCATGCCTCGTGCCGCCTCGCTCGCCTCTGCGCCGCCGCGCGTTCACCGATGCGGCCAGGTGGCGGCGAATGCTGCTGTGCACGCACAGCTCAATGGCCGAGTCTGCATTTGTGCCGCACTCCAGCGGGTCCAGCCTGCGACATCAGCGCGGGCTTTCAAGCATTTGACAATATCTCCCTTGCTGCTGTAATCCTTTTTTCTCCGGCTGCTTTTCAAGAGTGTCATGAAAGCTTTCCACAGCTAGAGGTGATCAGCAGGTCATTACACTCTTGGCTGGGATGTATATATTTATAATCATATTAAATAATTGAAAAAGGTGGTGTCAAGCGCCATGTTTGGACAGGTCAGCCGTGATCAGACTGCCACATGCCCAGCAAAACAGGCAGCAAGTGGATGGACGGGACCTGGTGAAGGCCTGAAGTGCCGGGGTCAAACCCAGCATTGTTGCATCACGCGTATGTCCAGCAGGAGCTGAAATGCTGGAGCTCATTCATGCTCATGCTCTCGGCCTCTATGTGCACTGCGGACGTAGAGGCCGGGGGCATGTCCTTCACGGTGGCACAAAGGTCGATTTGTGCGCGACAGCCTGCCCCGCGTGTCACTTAGTAAGCCCACCTACTGGCTCAGTTATGTGCGTGCGCACATGTGCCACATGCCTCAGATTATAACAGGACACAAGGGACAGACAGCACTCCCGCGTGCGCGCACGCGCGCGCGCGCACACACACACACACACACACACACACACACACACACACGCACGCACGCACGCACGCACGCACGCACGCACGCACGCACACATGCACGCGCATATGCTTGTGTGTACGCACCACAAGTGTCTCGAAGCGGCATCACAAGCCGTGCCTTTTCGTTCAGCCGTTGCCATGCCATGCAACCAGGGCTCACCTTCTCCCTGATTTTGACACAGCGAAATGGCGCACGACCCTCTTCAACCTACCGCAGGCCAGAAAAGCCCCGGTACAGGACAACAGGGTTTGGGGGCTGCTGGCTGACGCCGGCATGGTGGGGCCTGCTGGGGTGAGCGATGGGTTGAAAGGCAGGGGGCCCATGGCAGGAAGCTGAGGATGATTGGTGCTTGCAGCTGAGCTGTGTGCACTGGGTTCGCGCGTAAGCAATAGTGGCGGAGGCGCCTGAGCTCTCAGTTCCTTGGCGATTGGGGGAACAGGCAGGTGCGCTGCCCACATCCCGCTGCATGTCCCACCTGCGACACACCTCTGTCGCAAGATGACCTGCATCCCGTGGTCACTTGAATCACGTACAAATGACCCAGTGCTCAGTCCGCTGATGGTGACAGAAAAGGTTGGATCACAGGGCATGGGTCGCCTGTGGCACGCACATGTCAGACCTGCAGAGTGAGGCGCGGCCTGCAATTTTCAGTGGCGAGTGCGGGCGCTTTGAGAACCCTCACATCCGCCATGGCCCAGCGACCAAGGCACACCAAGGCCTGGGTTGGCAAGTGCAACTGAACAGTACTTAGCTACCATGCTGCACAAGGCAGCAGTGCTGGTGCTAGTAATGGGCACATGTTCGATTGAAACTGTGTTTAGCCAGCACAACCCATTGCGGGACCTCATCACCACGCAGTCACATGGTACCCGCCCTTGGTCATGCTGAAATTGTGTATGTGTCTACACACCATTCGGTTGACCAGCTTCACAACGCGCCGTCCCGGCTGCACTCTGGCTGACAAGAATCGCGCCTGCGCATCCCGCATACAATTTTATCCATTGCATGAATCCGAGCTTGCTTCTAGCCATTGAGCGAGTCGGGTTGCTTCGCGGCGGGGGTCGGTCCTGAGCGCAGGGAGCTGCGCCGCACTCAAACCCTCATCGTTATTTTCATGAAAAATATGTGTCCGTGTGTAAGTGGACAGCGAGTGCGCGGGTGGCTATAAAGGACGGGCACAGCATCAGCACCGAAACGTGCCCGCACTAACAGCGCACTCAGGTGAGGAAGGTCTTTCTCAATACAGCAATGACGCTGAGCATCGCACCAGGGCCAGACCTGCCGCTTGCTGCGGTGTGCCGCTCGCATCAAACGCTGTGCTGTCGGTGGGTGGCTCGGCTTACATGCGTGCAGCGGCAGCCCTGTATGTGACGCCATCAAGTGCGCCTGTTTTGGCCCCTCACCCTACCACTCCCTGTCTCACATGGCGCTCAATGCTGCTGGTTGTGCCGTATATTCCACCCTTTCCACCGCCTAGCCGGCGCCACGCCCATACCCGCCACTGTGTGCAGGGATCAGCACCCACCACACAGCACTGACGAGGTTACAGAGGTCCGCCCAGAGCAATGTACGACTGTGCCTGCGGCGCCACCGCTGCCACGGCTGGCGAGTTCTACCGCCATCTGGAGGCGGCAGGCGGTCCCGCCGCGGCCGCGGCACACCACTTGCTCTCGTCCGCTGCGCCCCGTCCACTAGCCGCCGCCGCCACCCCCTCCGCCACTGCCGCTGCCCCTGCCGCCGCCGCTGCGTCCCCTCGCCGCGGCACAAGCGCCCGCCCTCAGGCGCAGCGCCGCAATCGTACAAACCAGGCCCCCCAGCGGCGGCGCGCGGGCGCCGTCGCCTCTCAGGGCGCTGCGGCGGCGGCCGCGGCGGCGGTGAACGGCGGGCCGGAGCAGCCGCCGGCGGTCGAGCCGGAGCAGCTATTTAAGATCGGGGCGTCGTGGGATGATCTGGAGTTTGACGCAGATGGCCAGGCCTTATTGCTTGAGGACGACGATGAGGAGGACGTCCCCCGCCCATTTCACCAAAAAGCCGGCGGCCGCGGCGGCGCCAAGGGCATCGACGGGTCCATCCCTCAGGCGGAGGGCCGCGCGGCCGGCGGCGGCGCTGCTCCTGCGGCGGCCCCTGCCCCCGCGGCGTCTGGACAGGACCAGGTCGGCGGCAGTCGCGGCGGCGTCGGCGGCGTCGGCGCCGGGCTGAGCGACGGTTTGATGTACGCGCTGCAGGGGTACAGCTGGCTGTCGGGCACCGTCGGCCAAGCCACGTCTGCGGCGGTCGCGGCGGCGGCGATGGCGGCGGCCGCTGCCGCGGGCGAGCCGCGGGCGCGTGAGCGGAGGTCGCGGGAGCACGGAAAGGGGCAGGACGCCACAGCGGCAGGGCTGGCAGAGCTCATGTCTGAGGAGAGCGACGGAGGCTGCGCCGCAGATGATCTGTCAAGGCCCCCCTCGGCATGGGGCCGCGCGGGATGGCTGGAGAGCGGCAAAGCCGTCCCGGGCTCGAGCATGCGCCAGCGGCGCGGCGTCGCGCGCCCGGGCGCCGCCCGGCGCGCGAC